GCAACCTTTCGTAGAGAATATTTGCTAGTATTTTGTAAGCAGTTGTTAACAGGGTTATACCTCTATAGTTTTCACACTGGATCTGGTCACCTTTTTTATGTAACGGGCATATCACACCTTGAGACCATTCACAAGGTATGGTCTCATTATGCCAAACAAGAAGTAAAAGCTTATGCAGTGTCTGTAGTAGGGCATCGCTACCATTCTTGTAGAGCTCACTGCAAAATTGATCAACTCCCGGTGATTTATTATTTTTAAGCTTTTTAATGGCTTGGGCAACCTTTTCGATGGTAGGTGGTCTTTCGTTTGGGTTGAAAGGATTCCAATCATTTCGATTTGCTAGGGTGTTATCTGCTTCTTCGATATGATGGCCATTAAATTTTGCATCGAAAAATTCAACCCATCTGTTTAGGATTGAGGCCGTATCATTTAGGATATTTCCTTCTGCTCCTACAGCTCCTTATTCTTAGCTTAAACTCTTTGCGCATCTGTAGAACTTTCGAGTTTCATTTTGATTTCTTAGCCATTCTGTGCTTTCCAATTGCTTTTGCTCAAATTGTCTTTTTTTTCTTCTATTTAATCGTTTTTCTTCTCTTCTTAGTGTCCGGTATTCTTCCTTTGCTCTTCTTGTGCATCCAGCTTGATTTGTCTTTAGGTATACCCTGTTTTTATTATCTGTTGCTTCTTGGCACTCCTTGTCAAACCATTCGTTTTCTTTAACTGGTTTGGTTTTCCCCAATATTTTTGTTGCTTTCTCAGTTATTATGTTTTTACATTTAGTTCCTCTACATTTTCCCCCACCTCCAGGCTCTCCATTTCCTCGTCCATTTGTCTCCTATACTCTCTCGCAACGGTTTCGATGCGCAGATTATTAACATTAATTCTGTCTTGTTTCGTGTGTTTATTTTTCTTTTGGTTTGATATTCTTCCTCTGATTTTTGCCATTACAAGAAAGTGGTCACTGTCAATGTTTGAGCCTCGCTAGCTTCTGACATCTATGAGATCGGAAGAGTGCCTTGCATCTATCAGGATGTGATCTATCTGGTTAATGGTTTCGTTATCAGGGGATTTCCATGTTCCTTTGTGTATCAATTTATGGGGAAATCTTGTTCCTCCTGATATCATGTTTTTAGTACTTGCAAAGTTTATTAGTCTCAACCCGTTATAATTTGACTCTTTATGTCAGCTCTCACGTCCTATAGTTGGCTGGAAAAATTGCTCTTTGCCAATTTTTGCATTAAGGTCCCCAGCAATGATTTTCACGTCATGACGTGAACATCGATCATATTCTTTGTCTAAGTTGTCATAGAATTCATATTTTTCATTATCCTCCTTTTCTTCCGTAGGTGCGTGTACACTAAGTAAGCTATAATTAAAGAATTTTCCTTTAAGACGTAGATAACATATTCTGTTGTTTATGGGTTTAAAGTTAAGGACTAATTGCTTTGCTTTTTTACTGATTAGAAAACCACTGCCAAACTCGTGTCGGCTGCTATGTCCGCTATAGTATATATTGTAGTCTCTTTTCTCGATGATTCCTGAACCAGTCCATCTCATCTCTTGAATCGCTACTACATCGGCTTTCATTTTATCAAGCTCTTGTGTTAGCAGTCTAAGAGCACCTGGGGTATAAAGGGTTCGTACATTTCATGTGCATATCCGTAAATCGTTATTCCATTGTCGTTTGCTAGGTCGTCGTGAATTAAACAGTCCGGCTTTTCCACTTTGTGCTTTCATAACAATGAGTTTTTTTAAGGGAAGAGGTCGTTAACCTTTTGCCCAACTTCCTAATCTTCGAAGGACCAAAGTAATAATATACATTTTATAAATTATCAACATTATGTTTCTTTATCATATCTAAATACTCTCTGAAATTGTTACTAAAAGTAACAATTTCAGAGGTAACTACAGCATTGGAAAACATGAAGAGAAATAAAGCTGCAGGAGAAGATAGTATTACCACAGATATGATATTAGAAGGAGGTAAGGAACTAATTGCAATTGTAACTAAGCTTGTGGACAGTTGTTTACATCAGGGCAAAGTCCCCAAGAGCTGGAACAACTCTAAAGTAATCTTATTGCACAAGAAAGGTGATAGTCGAAAATTGGAAAAACTACAGACCCATCAGCCTACTGTCACACCTGTTTAAAATACTCACCAAAGTCATAACTACTCGACTAACAAGGAAATTAGACGAATACCAACCATATGAAGAGGCAGGTTTTAGAAAAGGCTATTCAACTTCCGATCACCTGTTAACCACAAAAATATTAATAGAAAAATGTAACGAATACAAGTTTCCAGTTTTCCTTGCATTTGTAAACTACGAAAAAGCTTTCGATACCATAGAACACACGGCCGTAATAAACGCAATGCAAAATTGTAGAATAGACAGCAGATATATTAACTTAATAAAAGAAACTATGAACCAAGCTACAGCTACATACTACCTAAATGAAAATGAACACACGAACCCTGTACCATTAAACAGGGGAGTCAAACAGGGAGATACTTTATCACCCAAACTGTTCACCTTAGTTTTGGAGGACGTTTTTAAAAACCTAAATTGGAAATATAAGGGAATAAACATTAATGGCCGCTACCTCAGTAATCTACGATTTGCAGATGACATAATCCTGATAGCTACTGACCTACAAGAAATGCAAACCATGCTTGTAGAACTTCATACCGAATCTTCTAAAATAGGACTGAAAATGAATTTAAACAAAACAAAAGTCATGCACTCCGAAGACACCGTGACAATAATAAACGATAAAGTCATAGAAAAAGTTGAAGAATATATATACTTGGGACAAAAAATAATCCTAAATAGGGAAATTCAGACTGAAGAAATAAAAAGAAGAAGAAAGTTAGCTTGGGCAGCATTCGGTAAACTGAAGTATATACTCAGAAATCAACAAATTCAATTACATCTTAGATCTAAAGTTTTTGATGCATGCATTATTCCGATATTAACTTATGCGGCACAAACATGGACAATCACAAAAAAGAATATGAATATACTTAGAGTCACTCAACACGCGATGGAAAAATCAATGCTAGGTATATCACTTAAGGACAAGAAAACAAACACATGGATAAGACAGAAAACCAAAGTCACCGATGTGGTGCAAAAAGCATTAAAGCTGAAATGGGAATACCTGGAGACCATACCAACACAAAAGACCCAGAGGCAGACCTCCTATGAGATGGACAGATGATCTGAAAAGGACTGCCGGGAAAAATTGGCTACAAGTAGCGTACAATAAAAAACAATGGAAAGGAAGACTTGAAGAGGCTTATGTTCAGATGTGGACGTGAATGGCTAGACGAAGAAGAAGAAGAAGAAATACTTTCTAAGAATTGTAGTTCTATTCTCCCTGTCAATTAACTTTTTCTTTTCAATTTCTCATTTTTTATACTATTTTATTCTATTGTCATACAACATACCACAGAAAATAAAATATTTCGAACATATTCATTTGTCATTCACAAACAGTTGTTTTATGTCATTTAATTGTCGCTATACATGTTCGTGTTTTGGAACAAACCTTACATTACTCGACTTGACGAGTATGTAGAGAGTCACCTCGCCTCGATGAAATTCACTTCGACACTTCGTCCGAAGAACTTCAATCGAGAGTGTAGACGGCGTTTAAAAAGTAAACAACAAGAAACTTAGTTAAAGGAACTAATTGTCCATACTATTGTTTGAATGTTTATCACGTAATTATATGGTTTAAAAGTGTTTTTTCTAATATGCAGATATCTATTTTTAACTTTTCAACCTATAAAAATAGTAATTAATACTTTCAAAATTGCTAACTAGAATAAAAGTATCATAGTTACATGTCACATACCTCGATCAATAATTTGAGAAGTGTAGTGAATAAAGTCACTCAAAGGGCTCGGGTGAAGATAATGCTATCTAACATTTTTTGCGAAATCGACTTTTTATATGGAAATAATGGTAAATGTAGCTAGAAACAGATTCCTTGTGAAGATTTATCGATATCTTAATAGATGACGCTACAGTAGCACCCTAATATGTCGGCTAACAGCACCCCTGACAGTCGTCGTGACTTCGTGACGAATATAATGGTATCATGGCGGCGAACAATAAGTTGTTTACGTCTTTGTGTGAACAAAATATGGGAAATTTGCAAGAAATATGTGACACAAATGGCAGTTCAGAATGCGATGATAGCGATAAAGATCCAGACTATAGTTTTAACGAAGATATTGGCAAGAAAAAGGTAAGTTTTTTAATATTTGTCTCAACCTTAATTTAGCTTTAAAATAATTGTAATTGTGTAGATACCATTTTTTACGTATAATGACGAGACTAACGAATATCACCAATTCACAAGTAGTTACCATTGTTTTCATCAATTTAATGCTTTGTAAATGCATTTATTTTTTTCGAATATTTACAAAACTAATAAGTATTTTTGAAAAATTTAAACCCAGAATGAAAGACTACATTACAAGTGAGTGCCGAAAGTCCTTAAAAACTTCGACAATATGTATTTTAATAAGTTACGGGAGTAAAAAAGAAGAGAAAATTTAGTGCGAATTTTAATTTTAAATATCTGATTTAGAAGAAACTTTTCGCTTATTCTAAGGGACTTTTAACCCTCGGTAATACTTTAATCTTTCAATTTGTGTTTAAATTATCAAAAATACTTATCAGTTTTGTCAGGATTCGAAAAAATGAATGAATTTATAATGCATTGGCCCGAAATTTTCTTGCGCTTAAAAATGTTCTGTTTGTACAAATGTACAATTTCTTTTGCAGAAACATCGTAAGATATGGCCTACACCGTTATCCAACCACAATCATAATGCATTATCTGATGAACCTGACAAAGAAACCCCAGTTCGAGAAAGAAAAAGTAAACAAGGATGTAATATTGATTAGCGATAACAAAACAAACGGAACAGTGGTCAATCACATACTTGTAAAAGAGGAAAGGGAAACGTTATACCATAAATATCGATGGGAGAAGATTGTTTGTGCAAAAGAAAATATTTTGAGGTAGAATCAGCAAACGAAAGGAAATGTATTTTTCAGAAGTTTTGGGAGATAAATAATTTTAATACCCAAAATGCGTATTTATTTGGATGCATACATATTAAGACAAAGTCCCGAGGTACCAAACCAAAGGAGTCGCCTTCCCGAAGGAGTCACTCTGTCGATTATTTAATAACAACTACAGGCAACATCAGTTATCAACTTTCTTGTAAGAAAGCATTTCTAAATATTTATGGACTACAACATAATAGGGGTAGAATCGAAAATATTGGTAAAAACATCAAACAAGGTTTACTAATGCCGAAAATGGATGGAAGAGGACGTCATGCAAATCACAAAGAAAAATTGTCTAATGAGAGCATCCTATTTCTTAAAGAATTTATTAAAAGACTCCCAAAATATGAAAGTCACTATTACCGAAATGACAACTATAACACGTATTTTATGACAATTGACTATACAATAGAGAAGTGCTATGAAGTTTACAAAATTGAATGTTTATCGCAAAATCAAGAATGTGTATCTGTTGATAAGTTTCGAAGAGTATTTACTGACGATTTTAATATTAAATTCAAATCACCTAAATCCGATAGGTGCCATATATGTGATTCAATCTATGTTAGTATGAAAGAGGCTACAATACAAAGCAATGACAAACAAATTCAAGCGTTAAAATTGAAGCAAGAACTGCATCACAGGAAGGCTAAAGCTGGACAAGACGCGATAAAAAATGCAACAAAAAAAAACACAAGAGAGCAATGAAACATATGCAATAACATTTTATCTTCAACAAGCACTTCCAACCCCCAAATTGTCTACTAGCCAATGTTACCATCAGACAGAGATTTTGATGTTGTAGAAAAATACCTACGAGCTCATTGTCAATTATGTATATTCTCCAGCTGAGTGCGAAAACATACTAGGAACATGCCAAAAGAAAAATCCATTCATCGTTTACAAGATGAATCAAGAAGATTTTTTAAAAGTGTCTGAAATGAGAAACTATTTTGAACAACCCAAGTCTACACCGGCTAATCCATGTAGTGTTAGAAATGCTGTGCAAATGCGCTTCTCTATTGAGAACTTTGAACAAATCGAAATCGCTGATACCTACAATGGTGAGTTTAATTCATACCCAATTCAAAAAAGAGGAAGAACTGGGATCCGACAAGAACATTTTATTCGAGATCTTCACAAGAAATATGCTACATGGCTTGGTATTAAACCTAGTAAACTTAAACATTTACTTTCGTGTTTGGATTGGATTCCCAACGTTCATCATGAGTTTTACAGGTCATTATTTGCAAAATCCCTGTAATTTTTTTCTTATTTCTATTATTGTTTCTTGTGTTTATTTCTAATAACATTTTTTAGTATATTTGTTTCATTTTTGTATCCTATGTGCAATTCAATAAACGTAAAAAATGGTATCTACAGTATTTTTTATTCAAAGTTAAAGCTAGTTAGAAGATTAACGAGTATACATGTGAAAATACTGCTATGACAAATAGGTGGTCATTGCAACAGACCAATCAATCGGTAAACTTTTTAAGTTTAATTTCTAAACATTTTTAGAAATGTGACTTACCATTATCTTCACCCGAGCCCTACAAATATTAACGAAAAATAAAATACAAATTACCTGATATATTATTGTCAAGTGAGGTCATGTGGTCACATTTTCTTTTTTTGTAGTCGTTTCAATATCATTTATTTCTTGTACTAAAGAACACAAACGTTGCTCACAGCTCATTTTATCAATACTTTCTTTAAATATAGTTTTCTATATTTTCTTTAAACACAATCACAAAGTTCTAACTTATCTCCAGAATATTTTTTGTGAATCACTTAGTACTCATAAACGTGTAAACGCAATAACAATAAAATACCAAGTCAGACACGTGACTACAGGCATTCGAGTTAAAGAGAATTAACTGATATAATACAGTTTACTTCTGATACAGTCTGTGGTTTAGTAATGTTTAACATCACCTATCTTTGTAATCGAATAGTATTAAACTTAGATATATTTATCACAGAAAATACCATGAATATCAATGTCATCTGGTACTGAAATCTTATTTTTGATAAAATAGTGACTTGATACAGTTTACCACTAAAGATAGAAATACTAGCAAAGGTAATTAGACTGACTAGGACGATAATGAAGGACTCATCATCAAGAGTTAAAACTACCAAATAAGATATAAACAACATTAATACAGAGACTCAGAGTTAAAAAAAAAAGAAAAGCATTGATATCGCGTAAGGAACAAAAACTAAAAACAGTCCCAACGTTAATACATAAATATTATGTATAAATCTCCTAATAAAAGAAAATACTTAATAAGTACAGGAGATTTACCAACAGAAATAATAATAAGTGAAAACAAATTCCAGAGGGTTAATTACTAGAAATACTTGGCGGTGTTACTGGACGGTGAAAATGGAAGGGGTGCAGAAATAAGCAAAAGAATTAAAGCGAAGAACGGTTTATTTTGGAAATATCACCTACTAAAAGAGAAAAACCTTAGCAAAAAAAAACAAAGGCCAAAATATATAGAGCAACAAGTAGACCAGTAATAGCATACGAAGCGAAAGTAATGTGTGTTACGAAAAAAGATAAAGAAAAAATAAGAACTTTTGAAAAAAAAAAAGAGAATGTACGGCCCAATAATGAACAAGAAGGATATAGAAGACTAATTAACCATGAAATAAGAAATATTACCGAAGGGAAAGTCATAGTAAAATTTATTAATGCACAAAGACTGATATGGTTTGACCACATACAAAGAAGAGAAGAAAATGGTACTAATAAGGAAGATAAGTACACGACAACCCGTAATAAATAGACCAGAAATAAGACATGATTACATGTTTTAATGTGCGGATTTTTTAATTTAAATAACATATTCGACGATTGATAAGAGATCCACTAAGATATTGAATAATACCAGATCATTAAATTTGTAACTATCAACAAAAATATAATATAGAATGATAAGCATGCATTTGATGGTAATATGATCTTTACAGATATCGGCGCCTCAGTACATAAATATTTATTTGTCGATAACATTGTTTAGATAACATGAATCATTTTTCAAAAGTCGTCATTACATTATACATCTAAAAATTAAACAAAAATTAATAAAACATTTTGTTAATAGATTTACTGTAAGCATACGATATATAATATTCTTATTTCAATAAAATAAATAAAAATAGAACTTGTTGAGCAGGGCTGATTGTCACAGAAGGGCAATAGAATATTATACATAAAGATATAAAATATTATCACTTAGTTGGTCTACTAGTAATAAAGTTATCGTTACATACGTTCTTTGGGTATTTGATAAAATTACTGTAATGATACTGTAATAATACTGTATTAAATTTTCAATTAATTTTTCGTGTAATATAATTGCCACCAATGTCACCATTGATTCACAATGTCGCAATTCACAATGTCACCAAATATATTGATAATCAGTGTGGTATTACCAGTGTCAAAATGTCCTCAAATCTAGTTTTAAAATCTGAATAGATAGCCTTCAAATGTTGGACTTATATTGAAACATCTCTTCCTGGCCGATTACTTGGAACATCTAAAATAACCAACATTCCAACATGAAATGTTGGAAAATAAGTACCGTCCAAAGTTTTGCTTTATTAATTTTTTTTTTATTGAGTTAATGCCTCGACAACTAATGATCATTGGCAGATACCTAGTGTAGTGTGTATGTGTAGAGTAATTGTCTTGATACTTAGCAAAGTCGACGTCAATGTCTTTGCTAAGAGACGCTAATTATTGTATCCGAACGTCTGCGGTTACTCCAGTGAGTACCGATCGCACAATTTTAAACTGTCATGTTCGTCATATTAAATTTAGTAAGTAAATCTGTCAAATAAGCAATGTCTGCTTTTCTCTTTAATTAATTTTGTTTAAATTTTTATCTTTACTATCGAGAAATTCTAAAATAAGTTTCAAATAGTGTAAAGATTTTGTCAGGCTTAAGCCTTTCGACAGCCAGCGTATATTAGTGTAAAGAACACCTACACACACACAAACGAGGCGTTCAACCCAACACCTAGTGACATGTGTATACCACTGCTAGTCAGTGGGATCCACATGTCGGAAGATCAAACCGTTCTCGCCCCAGAAGAATCAATTTTTGTGAATCGGTACCTATCTGACCCCCAGGTTTTTCCTTCACCCCTTCACTACGTCTGACATACGCAGTGGAGGCTTATGAACTTAACGTCGGGCGATTTGAGTACTAAACAACACCCTCCGTATCTACATGGTTGTGGTTACGCCACCTAAAATCAAGGGGTAGCTAGCTATGAGCTTTTCTCCCTAGTTACTTTACTGAATTTACTTTGGTATTAGCATTACTTTGGACTTGATGTCCCTAAGAAAGTGTGTGCCCTGCACGAAGAGGCACCAACCTAGGTTGGTGCCCCTTCGCACAGGGAAAGTGTGTGTTCGGTCACTCAGCTGCCGATTTGGAAAAATTTAATTTGTTCTCCTCGCCAGCTGAGCACCCGACTGATCTGGCCACCAAGCCCATGCTTGTCGCACATGGACTCGATGCTCAGGAGTCGCGCTGCTGGTCTCCCAAATAGACCTGCCTTAAGGACCAAAGCCAAAATCTTGACTATACAAAGAGAACTTAAGGTTCTCTTTATATTTTCGCATTGTGTGAACATGTGTGTCGCGACGGAGTCAGTATCGCGTGTCTATTGGTGGCCAAAAGACCATTAAACTATGAATAGGTACTAAACTATTCCTTGCCACTATAATTCGTTCGCGGTGTTAGAAAGTATTTTCGCCCGGTTTTTTTACTAATACTAAGTCCAAAACTAAAAATTTTTTGGTGAGCAAGGCCTGGTATCTGGAACTCTAAAATGCCAAGACCCCAGTTCTTATCTTTTTTTTTGTTTTTTTTCCTACTTATAACCCGCGTTGCCTTTAGACTAGTCTGTGCCTATCTCAAACTTTGTGACTTTATGCTACTGGAACATTTCCAGCTATCTGATGTTTAGGCCGTCTATGTGTCATCCTGATGTTTGCATCATAATCTGTTAGCTCTCTCAGCTTTCTGTTGTGGTGGTTCCTTATTTCATTGAAGATTTCGTATGCCTTTTCGTTCATCGTGTGAAAGATTCTTTTCTGCTTTGTATCCCTGTATAGGTATCTTAGAGGTACATATTTCGGTACTTTTAGTGCATCTCTTATTAGTTGGTTTTCTGCTACTTGTAGTTTCTTCCTGTTGCATTTACAGGTATAGCCCCATGCTGCTGATTCATAAGTTAACGTTGGAAGGATTATGCTATTCGCTACCCTTATCTTCGTCCAAAAATTTAATTTACTTTTCCAGCCTACTAGCGAGGTAAGTTGTGTCTCTCTCAGTTTAGCTTTGTATACTATTTGGAATCGGAACTCCAGAGTTCCGACTTCGGACAGGGCAGGCTCTATCCGAACTCTAAATCTCCGGTTTGTTAGGTATGACGCAAGGAGACATGTCATTGCCTCACTATATCCATATTAATTCATCTTGTAGAGCAGGCCTTCGTACCAAACTCGAATGCCTTGCTAACGTCTAGGAAAGCTGCTGCAGTGTACATTTTTTCGTTGAAGCCTTTTGTGATAAATTCAGTTAACCTAAGAAATTGTAATTCACATTTTTTTTTAATAAAACTCCAACAGGAATCTTATGACTATTGCTATCTGATCATTCACTATGATCAATAAGCAA